GAGAGAGAGAGAGAGAGAGAGAGAGAGAGAGAGAGAGAGAGAGAGAGATATGGAAAAAGATTTGGAGATCAAGGAGCAATAAATGGTATCAGTTTGTGAAAGGAGAAGGGATAGCGGAATACTTAGAGAAGGGATGGGCAGAAGAAAGGTGGAGGAGAGTGATCAGTTTTGGAATGGGGAATGAAAGGAGGGAGGGTATGTACTGGGAGGGTGAGGAGAAAAGAAGATGCAAGATTTGTGAGGGTGAAGTAGAGAGCTTGGAACATGTGTGTGGGGGAGGGGTTGAGTGAGTGGGAGGGAGAGAGGAGAGAAGGAAACGGAGGTCCACGCGATAGGTTAAGTTAGGTTAAGTTAAGTTAGAAATAAGTTATGTAAGTTAGATGTAAGATTTAGATGTAAAATTAGAGCTAAGAGGTAGGGTGCGGAAGAGTACGGATGTGTGTGTGTGTGTGGGTGTGTGTGTGTGTATGTGTGTGTGTAGCGAGGAGAAGAGTTGTTATAGATATTGTAATCTCATATTGGGGATCAATAAAGGATACATACATACATACCAAACTGAAGAGTACGTTCAGAAATCTAAAGGTATTATGGATAGGAATGTATAAAATATTAAAAAATTATTTTGTCCTTAATTATGTCATAAATAAATGACATAAAGTTCCGAAAGCTTACGCAAATAGGATAAAACCGTTTATAATGACGAAAAAGAAAGATAGAAACATTATGGAAAGCATTCTGACTTCAATTATATAAAAAAAATGAGTGTAATGCAACAAAAATTCTTGCAAGTAGATTTAAACGTTTTATAGAACTTTAAACTTACGGGAGGGAAAATTGGGATGTTTTGATGTCATTTTGACCTTGCATCGTTCTAGTAAGCAAAATAGTAAACATTATTATTAAATTATTATTAATAAATTTCACGTAAATGAACCCAGGCAACACAACGTGACGTCATTTCCACGCCGATAAATGATGATTACCCAGATAGCACGAGGAATTCTTCAAGTGTTCCTAAAGTTTTCTCCTTTCCTGAATTGTACTTCCTTAGAAATTCGTGGAAGAATGCTATAAAAATGATTTAGGAAGTTACATGCACCATGAAAGGAGTTCCTCAGAACTTCTTAGAGTATTCATATAGAATTACTTCAACTCAAAAGGATTTCTTCGGATTTAATAAATTTTATTGCATCTGCACGAAAGAAAGATCAGAAACTTTGACCGGGGGTACTTATGTGCATCTGTAAATATTCACTTTTAATGCCATATGAGATAAAAAACATCAGATTCGGCTGGGATCGAACTCGGATCTTCCGCTTGCCAGACAACCGCTCTTTCCACTGAACTATTTAAGACTTCATGTTTGTAACATCTATATACCTAGTGAAAAATGATTCGTTGGTTGACGTCAAAATAATATCAAATTGACATTGGTTTGATGATTTCAACGTCTAATTTGATGTCATTTTGACGACAATCAACGAATCATTTTTCGCTGGGTATATATTGTTCTAACTGAACTTCAAATATAAATAAAGCGCATTTTCAAATATGTAATTCAAAATCCAAGAATAAATGGCTTTCAAATAATGCGATTGAGTTTGTTAGAACTGTATATGAATTTTAGAAACATGAATTCAAACTTAAGGACAAAATATACAGTATGTTTGATAAGAGCGTGTACGGCAAAACTTTTTCCTCGAAACCGTTAGAGGGGGGATATGAACGCGAGCCAATAGCGGGGCTCTTCTCCCAAGATGCTTTGTCTAGAAAGCCTT